TTGTTTCATTGTGTCCCGTTGTGTCCTGCGTGGAATGAGTGAAGGCATTGGGCTTCTGGCACGTGCTTCAGCGGCATGGGTTGCTCTTTCGCGCATTCGAAGGCGGAATTGAGAGAGCGGCCGAGCCTTCGAGCCACCGAACTTTGCTTCCGATTCGCAAAGGGAAACTGCCGCAAGGGCCAAGGATGCAACTTTGCTCATGGACATCATGAACTTCGCAGCCTAGCACAATTGGTGCCACAAAAATCCATGGCCAGGTCGAACAAAAAGGAGGCTGCGGCGCGAGCATCTGCACTTGCCTGCTTGGATTACCCAGTGGATTCCGCAACAGTGCAAGGGATGATGGCACTGACCGACCAACTCAGTCAAGAACTGACCGACCAACTCAGCTATTTGGAGATGGTTGAGGCCAGGTTCAAACTGATGGAGCAGATGATGCCCTTTCTTGATGCCCCGCCGGGCTTGTCACCACCAACAGGCAGTTGTGGTTACCTTGGTTACCAAAGTTACCACAGCGAACAAACTGTTGCAGCCGAGGGCGAGGAGCAAACCCCAAGCTTCTCATCCGTGTCTCCAGTGACGGCACAGGGTGAGCCGGGTGAGCCGGTGAAAATTTGGCTCTGAGGCCATGAGTCTCCTGATTTTATACAAGCTCTCAGCATACCCCCCAGCCCCCAGCGTCGCTCTATGCCCTTGATGCTTGGGAAAAAGCTGAGCTGATACGCTGCATCGTGATCCCTAGGTCCTAGGTTCTTCCTCATCACTCCCAGCTCCCACCATTGAGCAGACACTCCAATGTGCAAAGCGAAGAAATGTTGTGGTATCGATCGTTCAGTCCAATAGGCGTCCTGTTTTTTTTTCAGGAAGGGGGTGATCATGAAGAGCTGTCAGGTCATCGGATTTTTGTCTCATGTCTCAGTCGATTGATTGCAAAGGCAATGCCTGGGCCAGGCTGACTGAGAGATGTTGGAAGGGAAAACAGCGGCTTCTGAAGTTTGCTGAACACCAGTATCGTGTGTGGACGCTAGCAATACTAATATTGCATCCCTCCATCAGTTTTGCTCCAACAGCTGTTCGAAAGCATTCTCGAAAACATTGTGCCACACGGATAGTTCTCCGTATGGAGAACATCCGAAATCTTTTCCAAAACTGGAGAGCCCATTCTTAATTCGTTCAGCGAATCACGTTCTGTCAAGGCATGTTCCTTCACTTCTTGATTTGTTCACACCAAAACCCCTTTTTGGTACCTTCTTTGTACCTTCTTTTCTTGGCCTCTTCGGATCCGATCAATCCGATCTGGATTGAAGTTTTGGACATGAAAATCCATGAAATCCACGAATTTTGGTTCCCAAAAAAACCACGAAGCCCAGGTGGCCCAAGCTCTGGGTCCCGACTTGGTCGAAGCGGAGGCCGAAATTGGTGTTTGTTTTTGGGGCTGAAATTTCGATGGACCTACGGCGAGGGGGAAAACTTTGACCCCTCTCTGGGGGTTTTCTGTCCTGGCGCCACAGGTGTTGCCCAGTTTCGAAGCATTCTTGCAGGATACGCAGTTGGAGGTCCGGCGATATCTGGGTCCCAAAATCTGCGGGTCCAGGGGTAGTCCGAAAAGAGTCCATTGCGAAACTGCAGCAGCTTGGTGGAAGGTCCGCATGGCAGCGATTAAGACTGCAGGAGATCCCAGTCAGAGGCAAGTTGTCGCAGAGTCCCCTGGCCGGTTGGGTTGATTGGAACATGTTCTTGTAGCCCTAAATCAGGGGGTATCCTTTAATTTTCAGACACATGGGATGTCATTTTTTTTTTCATATCTCCCATTGACATCCAGAAAATATCACCATCAATCCCAATCCGCATGGTGGATGCAGCTGAGGTGGCAAGTCTCTTGCAGGCAGCGGCGAGGCCAGAGTTCCCCATGATTGCAGGGCAGCAGGTTTCAACCATGGTTTCAAACATGACAATTTCCCTTAAAACATGCCATTGGATCCATCGGGCCATTGAATTTCATTGAATCATCACATATTTAAATATATCAAATGAAGTGAAAGAGTCATGCAAGTATTTCTCCATATTTCTCCTCAAAGGGCCATTTTGGCCATGGCAGGCCATGGCCACCTTCCCCAAATATATCCAGAGACGACGTCAGTCTCGTTGAAGGCCTGCAGTGCAGCGCAGCTTGCTCCAAGCCTTGATGAATGGCATGGGGAAGGTGCCAGTGGGGTCAGTGGGGTCAGTGGGGCTGAAGTTGTGATGGGAAGTGATGGGAAGTGATGGGAAGACTGGAAGACCTTCCAAAATCACCAAACCTGTCCAACCTGTCCAAAGGTTGAAAAACTTGCCGTAGTTTTCCCAACTTTTGGCAGGAACAACTACCGTTGAGCTTCGAAGTTCGAAGGCCCGGCCAGGTGAAGAATTGGCGGTGTCGGCACCTGGCTGCCCAACAACTAGGTCCGGGGTCCAGGCTTTGCCACTGGACCAACTGGACCAACTTCTAGGGAGCATCCAAAAGAGCCCTAAAGGGCCCTAAAGTCTTTGGCTCAAACGATATCCGAGATATCAGAGATATTGGAGAGGGGTTCATTGTTTCGGTCTTTATCTTTCAGTATCTTTCACTTGCAGATAGATTACTGTTGAGACCATTGCTCGTGAAGGTCTCTGGCGCCTGCAGAACAGACTTTTGTTGAGCCGATTTTTCCCTCTGGATGATGATAACTTCGCCATTTGCGGGGACTTCCGCGTGTTATTCAGCGTTATCCATCACTACTAATTACTGATAATTACTATATAATTACTATATATATTACTATGATTATCATTCTTATTCTTATCCAATATATTCCAATATTATGTTGAATATCCATTTACATTTCCATCCCGTCCTCATTTTCTTATCTGACAACCCCCATCTGGCCGTGGTTGAGGCCCGATCTGCCTAGTCTTCAGCCCGTCTGGTGCCTAGAACCTGATGGTATGTGATGGTTCAATGATGGGGCCCATGGGGTAAAAACTGAATGGTTGAATAATGATTATGAGTAGAATAAACATGAGATAAACATTATGAATAATCCATAGTAATCCATATAATCCACTAGTCAAAACTGATGATCAACATTAGATAATAAACTGAGTAGAATCCACATAGGAATTGCCTATGAATCAATATAAATCGATGAACCAACCGGCAGAAGTTTGCTGCGGCTGGGCCGGAGTCCTGGCCTTGGATTTTATCCGTATTTTTCGACCTAACCCCTTTTCGACAGAGGGTCTTTAACGACGCTGTCACCCCAATGTTCATCATTTTCTCATGACCTAAAGCATCCTAAAGCCATTGAAGGATTGAAGTTGGGTGCTTTGGACAAACACCCAGAGATGCGCTTGGCAGATGATTTTCCGAGATGAAATTGCAATTTTTGGGCTTGAACTTTGGGTTTGTTTCAACATGTTGGGGAAAAAAGAACAAGTTGCATCATTGAAAATGATTGAAGATCATTGAACCATCATTTTCCACATTAAAATCCATGGACCGTGGCCTAAAAGAGCCAAAGATCCTCCATCTTGTGCCTGAGGCGAGCTGGTCAAAACCAGGGAAATCAGGCGCAGGGTCTGCGCAACGGGGCTGTGTTTTTTTTGATATTTCTAATGAGCAAAAATTGTAGCCTTTGGGCTGAACTGTCTGTGTCTTTTGGATGTTGATAACTGCTTTCAAATATACATATTGGATGGCACAGATGATTCCAGTCTGAACTTGGTTTGGCGATCAAACTGAAGCTACCGAAATCCGCTCTACGACACCCAACCGCCCATTTTTGTTACTGGTTTCCAATGGCTTGACAGCAAGATGGTGTTTTTTTCACACTACAGAACTGGTGCATTTTTGGGGAGAACTCATGGTTTGAAAGGTTCATCATTTATTGTGAACTTGCCCAGTTTGTCCCATTTCTGAGCTACGATTTTCCCAAAGAAACAGACACAATTGCGTCCTGTCTATGGTTTTCAACGTGGTTCCATGTGGTTCCTTTGGCACGGAAAGATAAATGAGCGCTACGCTTGCGGTAGGACATTTTTGGGGACATCAGATGATTTTTTTGATTACATCGAAAATTCACGGCACTGGTTTCATCCGCTGTTTTTCTTGAGTTACACCCATCTGGGTTTGTCTGAAAATAGGGTATATTCCCAATGAAATAGCCATAAAAAATAGGGATAATCATCAGCAAAACCATTGGGTTTAGGGGTTTTCTCTATTTTCAGACACACCCATCTAGTCAACATCCATGTTTACAGCCCAATGGCAGTGCAATTGCCGTGAGGATTACCTCATTTCGTGAAGTGGAATCCAGACTTTTGTTCTCAGGCGACTACTGAGGAAGGCCCAGGCGGGTAGTTTTTAGCCTCACATCATCTCATGTACAAATGGGGGTGTGCTTTCACACAGATCTGTCGAGTATATATATATATAAAAGATGCTATAAGATTATATAAGTATACTATATACAGAACATATTCTATTTCGATCAAGTAGTGGAGATTTTAATGTAACTTTCGATTTTGGAATTATGAGGAATGTGGAGTTTTAGATGCTTAATGTTGTTCGAACTAGTCTATCACTATTTCCGGGAATGCACTGGGGGTTGTTAACCTGGATTTATGTTGATATTACTACAAAGCCAAGTATCACTTCTAAATTGGGTTCAAACCCTAAACCCTAGCCACTTTGTAGCACCACTTTTTTAGGCTGAAGCTACTCCAGGTAAGAGCGGTGATTCGTCGAGGATGGAAAAAAACTATCTTCGTGTGATGACACTTAATGATATAATGATATACTATATATATATATGCATGTGACGCCGCAGGCTCAGCTATCCTCTTGTATGGTGATATCGACTACAATGGTTATGTTATGTTATGTAATGTAATTGTATAATTATGTTGATTATTTCAAAATCACCACGGAACAAGATTTGAACTGGAGCTTCTGCGAGCGCTGTCAGCAGGCTCTATGGCTGAGACCAAGGACGGACTTAGGGCTGCATCCCAATGAGTAAGTGGGTAGTAACCCAATGAGCTCCCAATGAGTATAGCAAAGGGTATGATTATGCCGCATGTAATTGGGCTCTTTCAAATGGCTTGAAAGATGTTTTGACTAGTTCTGAAAGGTCTTTACTAGTCATTTACTATCTGCTGGGACATCCACATCCAACGGCAGGACATCACTTGGCGCAACTTGGTCCCGCTGTTTCTGCAGCTCTGTGGGGATGGTGTCGCCCAGGTCGCCCGGGAAACCCCGGGAAACTGGCAACAACAACCACATGGTTTACCAGGCATTTTTGGAAGCCAGAATATCTATTCATCTATTCTTTCCAGACCTTGAACACCGATGTAATATGTAGGTTTGAATGATTGAACTACATGAGTCCTCCCTCCTGTTCCGAGTTCAAACACGTTGGTCCCTCCGGTTATCCTGCATGCAAAGATACAGTTGAACGCTGCCCGCAAAGGCTCTTGGCTTAGGTTCAGTAGATCTTCCACTAGCAGAAGTCAACACATTGTCCCGCATGCAAAAACCCCTACAATTTACATGCCAGATTTGGAACCTCAGAGACTTTGACTCAGTGCACAACTTCTGCAAAATACAGTGGCCAGCAAACAAGCTGCCTTTCAAACTTAAACATCCCAACCACACGCACCGTAAGCACTGTAAGCCGCATACATCCTTTCTTACTCAGCAAGCTGCGCCACATTTTCAACCGCTTGCAGCCGTCATAGACGCGCTCATAGTTGGTTTGAGCAG